ACCATTTTTATGTTGATCAAAGCTTGTAGACAACACAATGCTTGAACTCATAAAGCATATGTGTCAAACTCAAGGCCCGGGGGACAAATGTGGCCCCTGTTGACATCTTATCTGGCCCTCAAGATGATATGTGAAACGTAAAATACTTCTATCTCTTGAATTTTTCAGTAATATTTGATTGTGATGTTGAAAGCACAACAGAGAACATCAAATGAGACCAATCAAACTCTTGTTGAGGAACCTGTGACCAAGAAAATATGTTGGGTATCTGATTTGAGTTAATGTAGTTTCTGAAATTGGCCCTTAGTTTGAAAAATGTTTTAATTTTGGCCCCCTTTTTGACACCCCTGTTTGTGAGAGCTTGCAGTTGGATGTGTTGAGGATGAATTCCAGCACTAGCACAGCAAGTTTTAGCTTAGTATTTGTATAAAATGACAGTCGTAGTCATTTTTGTGCTAGCTTCTGTCAATTAGCCATTTTTAAATAGGTTGACACACAAACCTTTGAACTGTAGATTAAATTGCTACTTTTTAAAATCTTCTTTAAAAGCTCAGTGGTTCATGATAATTTTTACTGACAGTGTTCATTATAACAGTTAATGCCAAAGTTTTAAGCAAGAATATCATGTATTATATACGATATATTTTAATGCCACAGACAGAGTACACAGATGTGCAAAAACATAATCAGAGCTTCACCTTCAGCGGTGGGTGATGAACAGATTAATAGATCATTACATTAAAGTCTACCTCCTTGAAATCAAAGAAAAGATGATTGACACAAAGTTTTTGCGCAGTGCTCTATGTCATCTATTACCGTATTTTTCGGACTATAAGGCGCACCAGATTACATTGTGCAATAAGTGAAACAAAACAGTCAGATAAGTCAAATTTTATTCAACTCATTCACAATAACCACATAAAATCGGTTCGAGGTCAGTAAGTACAACCAGAATTAATATGTAAGACGCACCTGATTATAAGGCTCACTGTCGATTTTTGAGAAAATTAAAGGATATTTAAATGCGCCTTATAGTTTGAAAAATACGGTAATATGTGACAAAAAAGTTTTAAAGAGAAGTTTATTTAATTAGGCAGATGTCAGCAATTTGTGAGACATTGATGCAAGAGAGCAAAACAAACAAACAAACAAAATATATAATTTCAGTAAAAATGGATCCTCCCTAATTCATTGCATCTTATATTCAGTGACTGACTGTAGGCCGGAGTGTCCGAACATTTTTATATGTGGGCCAAAACCTTGAAGATGAAATGAAACATGAGCCACAAAAATATGAAATAAATAAATAAATTAATTTGTACACATTTTTAGTTGTTTTTGTTTTTTAACTCAGGGTAAACAATATTTTGGCAAAAGGACTAAATTTACTACGGGTAATTTTGGTGGAGACGGTGTTCTAAATTATTGTAGATCCAAAACATTAAAAGCTTCATAAACAATAACGTTTTATTTATTTTATTATTATTTTATTTATTTTATTACTTTATGTTTTAAATTTAATTTTGTTGATTTTATTGATTTATTGCCAAAAGATTGTATTAAACTTAATAGTGCTTATTTTGAGATATATATATTTTAATTCATTTTGCTTTTAAACCTAAAAATTATATAAAAAATTATCATCATTAAATTGGTAAAAGGTCTATCAGGGGTGTCCAAACATTTTTATATAGATGGGCCAAAACTTTTAAGATGAAAGTAGTCACGAGCCACAAAAATGTAAATATAAAAAATATAATAATGATATCCATCCATCCATTTTCTTTACCCGTTTATTCCATTTTGGGTCACCGGAGTCGCTGGTGCTCATGTCCAGCAATCAATGTGCGAGGGGCGGGGTACACCCTGGACAGGTTGCAAGTCCATCACAGGGCCACATAGAGACAAACGAGACAAACAACCATTCACTCTCTCATTCACACCTAGGGACAATTTAGAGTTACCAATCAGTCTAACATGCATGTTTTTGGTCTGTGGGAGGAAACCAGAGCACCCGGAGAAACCCCACGCATGCACGGAGAGAACATGCAGACTCCACCCAGAAAGGCCCCCGGACTGGGGTTTGAACCAGGGACCTGCTCGTTGAGAGGCAGCAGCTCTACCAGTTGTGCCACCGTGCTATAATAATGATATGATTAATAATAATAATAATAATAATACAAGTGTACATATTTTTAGAGATTTTTGTAACTCATAAACAATATGTTGTAGAAAGGACAAATTTGACAAATTTTAGTGGATACAGTGTTCTAAATTGTTGTAATCAAAAACATTTAAAACTATTATTAATTCATTTTTTAAAATGTAATTTATTTGATTTTGTTGATTTATTACCAAAAGACTGTATTAAGCTTAATACTGCTCATTTTATTTTATTTTATACATGTTTTGCTGTTAAATCTAAAAATATTGTAAAAAAAAAAAATTATCACCATTAAATTTGCAAAAGGTCTACATCTGCATCAATCTCTTAAGCCTATGGGCCAAAATTATACCATCTTTAAACTGCAAGTGTAGGCCACACAAAATCACTCCAAGGGCCACAAATGGCCCCTGGGCCACACTTTGGACACCCTTGCTGTAGGCCGTCCCCCGGTGACTTCAGGTTGAGGAGGCTAATCTGTCTGACTGTCATGGCAGTGAAGTGGTCAGAGGATTACAGGTCTTTGCGTGTCAAATGGAGGACACTGAAACTCCTAAGCGCACATCACATGCAGGTGCACAAGTGAAGGAGATTAGTAAGGAGTGCATTTTTACCCCCTAGAAGGAGCTTAAACTCTGCACACCTGAGAGGCAGAGTTGAACAGTGCGACTTTAGCTTTTTATACCACTGGCTGCAGCTAAATGTTCCCCTTCACTTTCAGATATCTGCTGAAGTGACGTCCATCTGAGGAATCAGTTGGTTGGGTGTTCTCACATACGGAGGATGGATATAAAGCCCGAGCCAGAGGTAGATGATGGGACCCTGGTCCCCGACAACGACAACCCAGAGATCGAGACTTTGACCACGGTGAGATTTGACTCCTTTGGTTTGGAGGCGACGGTGGACCAGGTGGAGCAGGTGACGAAGAACATGGAGACGCTGCTGTTGGACGTGGAGCAGCTGAGGAGCAGCTGCAGCGATCAGGCCAGCGAGCTGCTGCAGGTGGCGGCGGACCTGAGGAAGCAGCAGCAGGAGCTGAGGGAGAGCTACGCCGAGCTGTCCCGAGAACTGCAGGAAATGATGGGATCGGTGGAGGAGTTGCTCGGCACCAAGAGCGCCTTCGAGGCCAAAGAGAAGGAAACGGAGAAACTGAACCGGCTCCTCTGAGGGGATGGATACAAACTTTGATTTCAAATAGGATTTAAAAAAATACTCCATGGGAGGCTTGTTTTGACTTTGGGGTGTGGGACATGTTTGTAAAGAGATACATTTTAGAATTATTAAGGTACGAAGGTTTGAAATTGTATTTATTGTTTGTTGTGTGTGCGTGTTCTTTATTATGTCCAAATTTGATGACCGTGTGTGACTAAAAAGGCATTTGTAATCTTTAAAAAGTCTTTTACTCAAATCTTTAACATGAAAAGCCCCAGCTGTGCTGCACTGATAGATTCCCAGTATCTTTACATTGTGTTAAAAGTAAGACTGCAGTATCATTTTTGTCTGCTTGATGATAACGATGACTAGACAAAATTCTGCGACTTGAATGTTGCTTCCTGGTCAATATTTCACTGTCTCCACACATCCAGACACGCTTCTCTGTGGTTTCTCACTAAAATAAACCAACCCGAGCCCACAAAGCAGTGTTTTTCTGCCTGCAGCTCTTTCTCTGTGAATCACTGCTCTGTGTTTAGTGGTTATGGGATGTGTGGAAGGGACAATCATTGGTCAGTCTGTGAAAAAAATGAAAAACAATTACGGGAGGTTTTAGGGTCTCGTTCAGATTAGATCTTTTTTTTTAATAAGCTGATTTTTTTTTTTTTTCATTTAGCCTTTATTTATCCAGGTTAGTCTCATTGAGCCACGAGAACTCATTTTCAAGAGAGACCTGTTAATAAGCTGATTAGGCACCACCTGTTGATCATTGTGTGTGCAACTATTAAATTTTGTGTTCAAAAATGCCAATTTGCTCCACTTATTTCAGTTATTTCAGTACAGTGAACACGGATTGTCTCTCGTTATTGCTTTACAGCAAATATATGAATGTATATACGTGAAGGAGATCGCTGGCTTGACTCCCCGGACCGACAACATCAAGATGTGGAAAAGGTAAATCACCTACACCTGTCTACGCCATCATTTGAACCACCCGAGGACACTGAGCAAGGCCCTTAACCCCCACCATCTGCTCCCCCGGGCACCCTAAATAGCAGCTCCCTGCTCCACACAGAGGGCTGTGGTAGCTCGGGGGTCTGTGGTTGCATCAGGAAGGACATCAGGTGTAAAAACAATTGCCAAGTCTTGGCGAGTTTATTCACTGTGGTGATCCCTGAGGAAGAGAGCAGCTGAAAGAAAAGTAAAAAACTGCACATGCATATATTTATTTACATATCCACGATAACTTTAAAAAAAAAAAAAAAGCTTTTTGCTATACATCAATGTAAAAAAAACAATTTAGCATAAAGGAAAAACCCCAAGTTTGTTTGCATGGATGAAATTTGACACTTTCTGGGCTGGAGATCTGGCAAGCAGACCAAACTGAAGATAGAAAGCTGCGTGTCCAAGACTTTGTGCACCTTGTAGGTGCACGGTCCTTTGCACTGACCAGCCGGCTTGAAGACGGTAAGACGGCACAGGGATTTTATTTGCTGTGCTTTGCACATTTTCATTTCTGTTTTGCATATTTGCATAATTCATTTAAGATTACAAAAGAAACACCAACACAAATTACAACTTGTATTGGTGCAGATCCATATGATAAAGAACCAGTTTGTTTTCAATTTAGAGCCTTACTTTGAAAGTTGTGTCGTTTAATTGTCTTCAGCAGCTTTAGGTGAACATGAACATCCTGCAAGTCCTGGGCATCCTTTTTCTGGCTGCTCCTGCATTTACAGTGAGTCTTATTTTAGCATTCTTCAATTGATACAGATGTTTATGTCAATATAAATTCTTTGCTACAGGTATAAAAATCACAATAAGTCGATTGTGCTTGAAAAAAAAAGTTCTGTGGTTATTTATTGACAGTACTGTGAATGTATCAAGTTTTATTGTCCATAAATGTGCAGGTTATTTCTGTAGTTTTGTGATCTATATTTGAATATTTCACTTTTGATATATATATATATATATATATATATATATATATATATATATATATATATATATATATATATATATATATATATATATATTTAATGAAATGATGATGCATGCAGCTTCATAAGGCGACTTGGAAAAAAAAGTTGCATCATTTCACCCGGAATCTTTATTTTCAAAGCTTTGGGGTTTTTTGTGCAGCAGCAGTTGCTTTAACTTGAAAATCATTCAGTTTTTCAGAAAAATGCACTCAAACAAAAACATTTACAGAGACTGTCACACTGATAACACACAAATTTATGTATATTTACCGAGAGCAAAATTTATTTAAAATTAATCTGCAGGAAAGGCCTAAAAGTGTCGTCTTCCTGTTGTGGATCAGTGATTTCTGTTCATATATCGCTGTACATTTGTAAATCTCTTATGCAATGTATTTAAAATTGGTTTGTGGCAAGTTTCAGCTTCTATTTTAGAGTCTCATCCTGCTCTTACTGGGTGTTAGTGGTTAGTGGTGGCCATGATTGGGGTGTGTGAGAGTCCTGTGAATGACACAGGCAAAAACAATGCTGTGTTTTTCCATTTCATTTTTCTAGCTCACACAGCCAGTCTATGACTACTGGGGAGAGTTTGGGGCTTATGGCCCTTGCAGCCGAACCTGTGGCACCGGAGTGGCAATGAGAATCAGGAAGTGCATTACGTCAAGGTGAGACAAAGAAATATCTGGATGAAGAATATTTACATTATCATGTTTAGTAAGAGTGGAACGCAAAGTGCAGACAGAAGCTCAAAGGACTCTGAGGTAAAAAATAAATAAACTCATTTATTGAACATGAAAACAAAAGGCTGACGTGGCAGTTTACTTAAAACCAAAAACACCAGAAGACTCTGAGGAAATGAACATGGATGGCTTGGGAGCACAACGCACGGACACAAATGAGAAAAATGACTTTATAGGTGAAACTAAGGAGGGAGAACTGATAACATCTGGAAAGACAATGAGGAACAGGTGAGGGGAGAGGCACGAGCTGAACGACACGAGGGGAAAAACACCGGGGAAGCTGAAATACAAATACAGCAAAAATCACTGAAAACTAAATAAAACAAGACGCAGATCACGACATGCATAATACATTCATATTTCTTATAGATAATTAGAGTTATCATTTATAACTAAATATAGCATAGTAAACTGTTACAGAATAAGCTTTTTTATCATTGTACCGGTATACAGTGAAATTATGTTTATACGGTCGTCCGAAAGATAGCCAGAGTGCACGTTGCTGCTGCCATAATAGTGCAGCCCTTTATTCTTTATCAGAATACTTTTAGATAGAAAAAGGTAAGAGCCATGAGGATGGAATGTGGTATTACAAAAAAGATCTTTTCGCATCTTGTCCTATCAGGACATGTTTTGAGAAATCAAAAAACTCTACCAGTAAACCCGATAGACAAAGCTTTGTCCCTAGTTACTAGTTACCCATGTCACAGGAAAAATTTGATAGTCGGCTCGCATCCGAGGCCAAACGGGGGAGTCAGATTCAGATAAGCCACAATTGTTGATTTTCTTCGGGCAGTCTATTTTTTTCTCATCAGTCTTGAGTCCTGCTGGAACTTTCCCAGTCCAAAATGGCCAAATTTATGGGTATTTCACTCCACTGATCCGTGTTATGAGCCTTTCTCAAGGTCAATCCCAACATGCTGACGAGTCCTAGGAGTCGCAGGTGGCCTGCACTTCTCACAAATCGCCTCCATCTTATGGTTTAGCTCGTAAATCAGCTGATTTTGAGTACTCATAGCACGAACCAAACCTTCACACAGACTTGGAAGCCATGGCCGAAACTGCTGCCGAAGTCTTCTTCAAGAGTCAATACAACAGAGCCTCACCGATGTCAAAGAGCAGAACCCCTGCTATCATAAATCCAATTATATAAATGTCTTCAGCGTCCTTCTGAGACAGAACTGAGAGACACATCAGCTGCCAAACTCCCCACGGATCTCTACGTACCCTGCAGCGTGAGTCTTAGCCGGACTAGAGGGTTCTCCAGGACCCTGTCGTTTTGTTGAAAAGATTTTGTCGATTGCATTGAAAGTCCAGTTCACCAGATCCATAATAGTATTTTTCATTTGGAGGTGTGTACCAGGAGCTCTGAGACACACAGAGAGCAAAGGAGGAGAAAGAGGAGAATGCGTCCGCCTTGAGCGAGAGCCAGAGGAAAAAAAAAAAATCATCATATTTACATTTTATTTTCCACCTTTTATGCTCATATTTGGAAATATTTTTTATATAATGCACATTGGATGATTAAAATGTTGTCTGTCCTGCAGGATAGATGGAGGACACAACTGTGTGGGATCCTCCAAATCATTCCGGACGTGTAATACACAAGTAATTATACTTCAACCTTTTTAAAAAAAATCATTTGCACACAACTACAATATGCCACATCTTGAACATACAGGACTCCGTATTATCTGTTGTGACAGGCGTGTCCAGTTGGATCAAGAAACTTCAGAGAGGAGCAATGTTCTGAGTTCGACAGAGTGGACTTTCAAGGGAAACGTCACACATGGGAGCCTTATTATGGAGGTGTGCTGACTTTTCAGAGCAACATTTCTGGAGTTCCTCTCTGCCTCTTCCTGCCTTCTATACACTGTGTTGTTTCAAACGACAGCATTTTCTAGACTTAATTGCAGAAAACATTTGATCAGGTTTTGGATTCATGTTCCTTGAATCTTCCAGCATCCAACCCATGTGAGCTGAACTGCGTCCCAAGAGGGGAAAACTTCTTTTACCGACACAGGCCTACAGTGGTTGATGGGACTCCCTGTTATGTGGGACGGGCTGACATCTGTGTGGATGGGATCTGCAGGGTGAGACTGGGAGTCAAGCTTTAAACTCTAAGATTAAAAAAATACATATTTCAACTGATCAACTGATATTGATTGATTTTTTTTTCCAGTTATTGGACCATGAAGACTTTATGGGCTTAGATAACGACACAAGCCCTGTTCAGTTCACTGTTCCTGTTGCTCCTCATCCACGAGAGACACTCACATACACATACAGTGCTGGTGTCTTCGGAGAGTGCTCTGCCAGCTGTGATGGAGGGATGCAATATCGCAGCGTGGAGTGTTTGGTTCAGGACCCATCGACACCCCATCAGGTGGTAGACGAGTCCAACTGTATCACTCAGCGCCTGCGGAGGCCGCCGAGTCAGCAGGCCTGCAACATGCACCCATGTGCTGCTGCAGAGTACAGTGTCTCCAGCTTCAGTGTGGTTTGTATCTCACAGCAGTTTATATTTTAAATATTAAATTCATGTGCTGCTGCATTACAACTGTGATGGAGACTGGAATATATTGTGTGTGACTGTCAGTGCTCAGTAACCTGTGGAGAAGGACAGCAGACAAGAGAGGTGATCTGTATGGGACCAAGAGGGGAACATCTGCTTGATCATGCCTGCACAGGACTTGCAAAACCTGCTTCTGTCCGGACCTGCCGCAGACCCGCCTGCCACACTCACATAACCTGGCATGTGACAGAATATGGACTTGTAAGTGAAGTCGAAAAAAAAAAAAACATTTTATTTTTACTCCAAAAACAGCATTCACAGCTGCTGAAGTTCCACATTATTACCCTGTCCTGTCTCCACAGTGCAGCAGAAGCTGTGGTGGTGGTGTGAGAGAGAGGAAAGTTGCCTGTTTTGATACAGATTTGAACCCTTATCCCGAGGATCGATGCAGACCAGCCAGCAGACCCTCGTCTGTGGAAACATGCAATTCACAACCCTGTCACAGAGCACAAAGTGAGCCACATATAAACCTGAAACAGATTTAGTGAAGGTTTTATTTGTGCTGTTTTCATATGTTAACCATTCTTTTCTCTGTAGTGGTTCCAAGTGTTCAGAATCCAGACACGGAGAGAAGCACCATGAGAGGATTTCAACCTCACGAACCTACAGGTGCAGTGACAGCTAATGTGATTAGTATAAATGTATTCTCTTACTTTCATTTTCTTGTTTGTAGCCTTGAGCATGGATTGCTGAGGTGAATAAAATGTGTACATTGTTAAAAGAAATTATGATGCCCAATTGTTTTTATACAGTTAAAGTCATTGTTGATTAAATCTATCTTCGAGCAAAGAAAAAAAAAGTGCAGTAGTTGCTACAGACACCTTGATTTTGTTCATCTATCCATCTATCTATCCATCTATCCATCTATCCATAAATATATCTACTGTGTGTGTATACACACACACATATATATATATATATATATATATATATATATAGTATATATATATATATATATACTGTATATATATATATACAAAGTATATATATATATATACAGTATATAAATGGTAAATGGACTGTACTTGTATAGCGCCTTTTAGAAACAAGATTGTCTGCCTCTGTGTGTGTGTGTGTGTGTGTGGGTTGGTGGGGGGAGGGGGGGGGTCGTGCATTTGTTTATTATTTAAAAAATCCCATGACCATCTGTACAAAATGTCATGACATTTGTAGAAAGTAATTATTAGCTGAACATCTAAATCTAATTAGCTCTGAGAGTCAGCCCAGTTCACAATGGCTGGCAAAGCAACTCAGACTGTCTGTTAGCAAAATATCTTATGAACCAATTAGCAAGTTTTGATCAAACTTTCAGTATATATTCACTGAATGTACAATTAGAATGGATTAACTATTGAAGTCAACCCGTTCAATGTGTCTGCCACAGCCTACTCAGCATACAGAGGGCGTAAGTGGCTATAATTCAGTCAGTTTTACAGCTAATTGAGCTAATATTTTATATCGTAGCTGAGAAGCATTCATAACACATATTCTGAGCCAATTCACAACATTGCACATAACGTTATTTTCAAGGTTTGACCAAACTCTGTCACTTCTCAACACAAGATAATTTAAGTCTAAAATTCTGGCTTGAAAGGCAGTGGGTTATATGGCTTTTTTCCACGAATGCTAGACTTTTAATTTTAGTTTAGTTATGTTGATAAATAGGTTTTGAAGAAGTATTTCTCTCTTTAAAACAGTGCTCTTTTACAGTATTTGAACAAGTTAAGAACATTCATAGAAAGGATGAATTTGACTTCATGTTGAACGGCTTTTATTCATAGCTTCAAGACCAGACACACACAGTGAGCCGGACCCATACCCGCCTGTGATGGGTCCTCATTGTGCCCAATCATTCTACGGCTGCTGTCCTGATGGTCATACCTCTGCAACTGGACCTAGGAGCCAAGGCTGTTTTTCAGACGACTGTGATCACAGCAGGTGAATTGTTCCAATTCTCTGACATGCATGTAAAATCCATCCATCCATTTTCTTTACCCGCTTATTCCATTTTTGGGTCACGGGGGTCGCTGGTGCCCATGTCCAGCAATCACTGTGCGAGGGGCGGGGTACACCCTGGACGGGTCACAAGTCCATCACAGGGCCACATAGAGACAAACGAGACAAACAACCATTCACTCTCTCTCTCACACCTAGGGACAATTTAGAGTTACCAATCAGCCTAACATGCATGTTTTTGGACTGTGGGAGGAAACCGGAGTACCCGGAGAAAACCCACGCATGCACGGAGAGAACATGCAAACTCCACCCAGAAAGGCTCCTGGACCGGGGTTTGAACCAGGGACCTGCTCGCTGAGAGGCAGCAGCTCTACCAGTTGTGCCACCGTGCTGCCTGCATGTAAAATAAATGAAGGAATTCATTTTGGCTCAATAAACTGTTTCCTTCTTGTCTCTCCTCCTCAGGTATGGATGTTGTCTGGATGGAGTGACACCAGCGCAAGGATTTGGAAGGACTGGATGTCCTGAGTTCCAAACACCTGGAGTAAGAATCACATTAGCCTTGTTGGTTTATTTATTTATTTATGTCCTACTTTTTAAGGCAAAATTTAAATTGTAATAAACTTCAAAGCTCTTTCTAGGAAGATTATGGTCCAAGACAACATTCAGATACTTGACAAAGATTTTGGTACCACTTTCAATAAGGCTCTCCTTATAGACGGCTAATAGATACGTTATTAATTCCTCTATAAACACTTTATAAATAATTAATAATTGCTTATTATACATTAATTAAGGGTGACAGACAGACAAAACTGACCAGGTTCTTGCCAATAGTGAGCCAAATCTGTTCACCTATATATTTCATCTGGAGTTGTTTTAAACATTTCAGACTAAGTTACTACCTTATAAGCACAATAAGCATTTGTAATCCTAGTTCTTTAGCATATAATATTGTACTTTTATTACCGCATTATAAGTATGTACAACTAATATTATATCCTAAAAAATTAGGTCTGAAATGTTCAATATAACAACTCTAGATGGAATATATAGGTGGCAGATTTGGCTCAATATTTGGCAAGAAACTGGTCAGTTTTGTCTCTCTGTCACCCTTAATTAATGCATAATAAACAGTTATTAATTATTTATAAAGTGTTTATAGAGGAATTAATAACATATCTATAAACTATTTATTAGTCATCTATAAGGGGAGCCTTATCGTAAAGTGGTACTAAGATTTTTATCATTTGTACCTTTGTAATTTTCCACTCAGAGACAGTTTACCAGTGAGGATCGTGACACCGGCACTGTTCATTCTTCTACTCCTGTTCCTGTTGCTCCTCATCCACGAGAGGCGCTCACATACATCTACGGTACTGGTGACTACGGCGAGTGCTCTGCCACCTGTGATGGAGGGATACAGTATCGCAGCGTGGAGTGTTTGGTTCAGGACCCATCAACCCCCCAGGTGGCGGATGAGTCTTATTGCATTGCCCAGCGCCTGCAGAGGCCGCCGAGTCAGCAGGCCTGCAACATGCACCCATGTGCTGCTGCAGAGTACAGTGTCTCCAGCTTCAGTGTGGTTTGTATCTCACAGCAGGGAACCTTTTTTTTTTTTTTTTTTTTTTTAATATACATATTATTTTGCTGCTGCATTACAACTGTGATTGGAATATATTGTGTGTGACTGTCAGTGCTCAGTAACCTGTGGGGAAGGACAGCAGACAAGAGAGGTGAACTGTAGGGGACCAAGAGGGGAACATCTGCCCGATCACGCCTGCACAGGACTCGCAAAACCTGCTTCTGTCCGGTTCTGCCGCAGACCTGCCTGCCACACTCACATAACCTGGCATGTGACAGAATATGGACTTGTAAGTGCGGAGGGATCAAATGTATTGTGGACTGCAACAAGACTTTTAAAGCTGCAAAATATTCTTATTTTGTCTCCACAGTGCACGAGAAGTTGTGGTGGGGGTGTGAGAGAGAGGAAAGTTGGCTGTTTTGATACAGATCTGAACCCTTACCCTGAGGATCAATGTGGATCAGCCAGCAGACCAACTTCTGTAGAATCGTGCAACGTGCAGCCTTGTCCAGGAGTACAAAGTGAGAAAAACTACCTGGAAGTGTATTTTGATCAGCGTGAGTAGTGCTTTTTGGCACTTTTTTCACTTTTCTTTTCATTTTCCAGCGGTCCCAAGTATTCAAAACCAGGGGGCATTTAGAAATATCATAAGATTTGTACCTCATAGTCCAGAAGACCCTACAGGTATGCAAAGTATATATTATTTTTCTTTTATTTTGCATGTAACTGCATGCAAAGTATGTGTGAGATGGGTAAAATATATAAAACAAAGTTAGTGTTTGCAGTATGTTTGAAAAAATATATATATTTTGAAATTCTGAAAAAAAAATTGTACTTAGACTTTGCATTGACTTTTACTACTTTCACTCAAAAAACACTAAGCCTATGCTGTTTTTCAGCCACAGTATTGTTAAAGGCTATATTTATTGTACTGTATGTACTAGAAACAAATCAAGCAATTTAATAACCATGTGCAAAATCTATATTCCTACATAGTCTACAGTCATATGAAGAGTATTTCAAGCAGTAACAGGATGATTGACTTTACATTTGCTTGCTTTAGCTTCAAGGCCAGACACACACTGAGCACCATCTTTACCCTCCTGTCATAGGTCCTCATTGTGCACAGTCTTTTTACGGCTGCTGTCCTGATGGTAGTACCTCTGCAACAGGACCCAGGAACCAGGGCTGTGTAACAGACGACTGTGCCCAAAGCAGGTAACATGATGCATACATCCCATCTTTAAAACTGATAAATGTTTCAATGGTTTCTTAAACAAACTAACTAATACATTTAAAAAAATGTTCCTAGGTATGGCTGTTGTTTGGATGGAGTCACACCAGCTCAAGGAGATGGAAGGGCTGGATGTCCTGAGTATCAGACAACTGAAGTAGGGAACAAACCTTTTTTTTTTTCATAGTGGCTATATTGTGCAAACAAATATTTATTTTACAACACAAATTATTAAGGCAGTTGTCCTTAGCACACAGTTTATTTTATGTGGGCATGAAAAAACTTTGCCAAGTCTGACTAAGTTCAGTGATGCTATAATTAAATCATGTGGGTTACATATGTCCATCTTTTAAAAGTATAAAAATTAAGCCAAAAGTTGGAGTTTAAAAAAATTAAAAACATATTTTCTTATTGGGAATATGTTTGCTGGAATATTGTACAAAGTGTAGAAAGTTTTATGATTATTACTTTCATTGGATGAAAATTTAAAACATTTTAAACAGAAATAAATGTAGATATTGGAGCTGTAACATATTATCTTAAAAATGATTAACGTGTCCTTTTTTTTCCATATCAAAACAGTATCAGCCATTGCGACCTGTTGATTCACCAACTGGCAACGCGTGCTTCCTGCCTCGTGACGAGGGTGCATGTGAAACGTGGACGGTGCGGTTCACCTATGACAATGGCACTGGCAAATGTAAGGAGTTCTGGTATGGCGGCTGCCATGGCAACGCCAATAACTTTATCTCCCTGGAAGCATGCCAGAGAGCGTGTGGCGATGGAGAGAGGGAGCCTGCACCCATGAGGGTGACCCCAAGAGGATCAATTGGTAGCATTGCAAGAACAAGAGCTCAACGTGCCCGTCTCCTGTACACAGCATAGACAGCACACATGATCTAAATCACACAAGACTTGCACACAAATTGATAGAGTGAATTGAAAAAAATAGATTGTATTGAGTGACAATAGTTTTGATAGACATACAGTATTTTTGCAAAAGTCTTAATTTCTCCCCAAGAGTGAAACTATTCTGTGAATTTTAAAAGTGCAATTGTACAATTATTTTACAAGCTTTTTAATGAGCTGACAGTATTTGTTTCCATTTTAACTGCTCTTCTATCTTTTTTAAGTCCATCCTTGACAATTTTTTTTATTATTTTAAAATCCAGTAAAACCGGACATGAGACATGAGAGATGCATTATCCTACATGCGGTGCACCCAGTATTTCCAAATACTTCATTATAAATGAACTAAAGTGGTTTCTTTCAGTACTCCATGTTTTCTCAGTCTTGACAAATTTATTTTTGATGTTTTCTTCAGTCCTCTGTAATTTTGTTTTTTGAGTAATGTGTAATTGCAGGGTAACAGTGTTTACTGTGGTTAAATAATAAATGCAGTTAATAAAGTCTCATTAATAAATATCTTGCGACTTGTGTTTTGTGATATTTTTGGTCTTTACTCATGCAATGTTTTTTTTTATTAGACTTTATATACTTTACTTTTAAGTTTATTTGACATGCTACTATCTGACCTGTCGTTGCTTTAGTGCACCGCAGGAAGACAAACAGAATGTCTCACCCTTTTTTTTTCCTTCTGCCATCAGGCTTCTTAACCTTGATGGCAGCATATAGCTCTAAGTTATTTACTGCAACTTTACCACAAATTGTGACGCTGATGTCTGTTGATTTGTTATTGTGCAATATATATGTTTAATACTTTTAATGATTTTTTGGTTGTTTGTTTTGTTGGTTGTTGTTATAACTTTTAGTTATATGAGCATATATACCTTATGTGTATGGGTGGAAATCTGGAAACTGAAAAACTGAACTGTGCTTTGGGATACATAAAATTGTCTGAATCTGAATTTAAATTTACGAAAGAAAACTACAACATTTAATCTGATTTAGTTTGTAAATTGTTTAACTGCAAATTATTATTATTATTATTATTTAGTTCTAATTTGTCATATGTTGAAATCCAAAGTTCAGCCATTTAAATTTCAGAAACAGTTATGACATTGGATCCTTGCCAGTTGATAAAATGTAAGTTGCATAATGTTTTTAATAACAGAAATATTTCTAAAGACAAAAGTAACATGGCTATAACAATATTTTATGGGTTACAGAGCAACAAAATAAGCCACAAATACTAGTTATTAACTAGTTATTTACTTTGTTTGTTTTCTGCTTTACTAAAAATGTGATAAATTTAACTAAAAATATGTATATAATAAGAAAAAGAATAAGAAACAGAAGAAAGAAGAATAAGAAATAGACTGAAAATGTCGTCAAAACGGGACTTTTACTTTGAACTAAAATCTTTATTCTGAAAAACTGTACCCACATCACAACCGGAAGCATCTTTACCTCATTTCCGCTGACTGCTTTTTCTAGAACCTGTGAACTGCACGATAAATCGAGTCGTAAATAAGTCTTTTTTTTCCCAGTTTTACATTTCTTAAAACCTAGAGGGTGTAAAGTGAGTACAGATATGGTAAGTGTGCTTTGTTTCAAGTTTTAAAAGGTACAATTTTCCTTATGAACCCAAGTCATTCTGTTGAGGCTAAGCTAACAAGCTAGTTGCGAGACTGACGCTAACTAGCATAGTTGGTAACTGTTATCCATTGCAGTATTCAGTTAGTACTTAAATTAGCGTCTCGTTAAATCATCTTTATCTCCGACATATTTATTAGGATTACATAACGTTTGGCGGAATTTTAGAATATCAATGAATTTAGCCTGAGCATATTTTCCGTTGAAAGTGGTCATTCAGTGGAACGACTGAACGTAACGCAATGTGTTTCCTGAGCAAGAAAGCGTGTCGAAAAGCTCTCATTTGACTTAATTTTGTGTGAAGCAAAGAAAGCGTCATGCATTATTTTAAATATTAACCATTTGTGTTTTACAGTCGCACACAATTTTGCTTGTCCAACCAACCAAGAGACCAGAGGGCCGCACTTACGCTGACTACGAGTCAGTGAATGAATGCATGGAAGGTAATGTCTTTGTTTACTTTTATTATCAATATACAGTATCATTTTTTGTCATTATTTTTGTAACTATTGGAAGTTTTAGTCCACGCCATTATCAGAACGCTCAAAACTATTTCTTCGCAGTTTTAAAAAGGAAAAGCTTACTTTTTCACATAAAGTTTGCCAGTAAAATCAAATGCAATCACATGTATGAGTGAATCAAGACTGTTATGTTTTAATAAAACAGAAATTAAGTTGTCCAAATAAATTTAGTTCATGGATGGCATGTTATTCTATATTCAGTGCACAGTTTACAAAAGTTTGCCAACGCTTTTGGATCTTTTTTTTGTTTTTTATTACAAATGACCTTAATCACTTTACACTGGCTACTACCACAATATAATTAGCTGATTTTGGACTACGGTAAATAGTTTTAGGGGCCCTCTGGGGTGATAGGAATTCCTGAGCACCCCTAATTCTACATTCAAGGACATTTTTTTTCCTCATTTGTATTCACACCATGAATGAAAAACTTGATTAGATTAAACAACTAGCCCGTTTGTGATAAAGAAGTGAAAATTACCCCCCAACAATCATTAGACAGTTACTTTATATTAATCAACTGGAGTGTTTTCAGATAGTTCTTCTCAATCTATGACAGTCCTCTTCTTTGTAGTAGGTCTTGAATAAAGATCCTTTAAAAACAGTGTTTTAAACTACAATTGACTACAGTTTATTTGGTGCAAATACATCCTGGAGCAGGAACTGTAATAGTCAATTATAGGAGCTTTGAAAGTATTTTTATGGTTTAGAAGCATCTGGTGGCCACAGTTAGTATAAAAACTCGATGGCAAATGTATAATTTCAAGTTAAATAAATTTAGAATTATATAAATGTTACTTTTAAAGGCACACATCTCACAGACATTAAGGAATGTATTGCACATATGCAGTTTTAACTAACTTGTAGCTTAATTTACTTTTCAGTTTTTAGTCTTGTATCTATCTCAAGTCGTGGTTTCTTTATTGTCATTTGCATCACGTGGTACATGAGGTGGAACGAAATGGTGCACAAAGGGTCCCAGTTACTTTGAACAAAATGTAAAAAGAAACTGTAAATAAGGATCTAAGATATAAACTAAGATATACGCTAAACGAATGCCCAACAGTACGCTAAATGATCTGAGACATACGCTAGTCACTAATAGTGCAAAACAATACACCGGACAACAGAAGCACGATTCTCATAAGGTCGGTTCAGCTATATCGAAGCATGCAACAAAAATACAAAAACAAGGCTCCAAAAGTGAAAAAAAAAATTGTAGAGTGGTTCTGATGACAGTGAGGTCATCTTATCAACATGGTCCAGTTAGCAGCATGATACTGTTAGCAGTAAGGTTCAGTTAGCAATGAGGTTTCTCAGCAACATGGTCCCGTTAGCGGTGTGGTTTGGTTAGCGACGTGTTGTTAGCAGCATTAGCAGATCAGCAGCATGATTATACCAAGTCCCGCAGCAGCTGCCCTTCCAGACTGCCCTCCAGAACTGGGTCCGGCAAACAGAAAATGTCCAAGGTTTCCCCGCAAGACTGAACAGGTCCGTAGAGTTCGGTCCATGCAGGCAGATGGAGGATCATGGAGACAGCCACCATGACAGGACTGAGCCTGGAAGGACTGAACCACGAAGGCAAGACAGCGACACAGAAAACTCCACAAGTGTGTCATTATCATACCCGTACCATGGATGTGCAGTGTAGGTGCGAAAAGAAAAAGATTGAGGCAAAGCGGAAAACTTTCACTGGGAGCCTGTGAAGCTGCCGCTCGGCTGAGCACAACCATCTTGGCACTTTTGGCACTATCTCTGAACATTGTTAGATCACCGCCCTATCAGCCCTTTAGAGTCATCTGCATATGTTAAGATGTGTTCTTTTAACTTGCACTGTTGCAAACTGTTGTGCCTACCGTCACCCCATTCTGCACTTTTCTTTCAGGTGTTTGCAAAATGTACGAAGAGCATCTGAAGAGGATGAATCCAAACAGTCCATCCATTACATATGACATCAGTCAATTGTTTGACTTCATTGACGACTTGGCAGACCTGAGCTGTCTTGTGTAAGTATAGATTTCAGGTTAACATTGGGAATGTTTTTATTGTGTTGATCTCTATTTTTCTACTTTGAATGCAGGTACAGAGCTGATACTCAAACATACCAACCGTACAACAAAGACTGGATTAAGGAAAAGATATACGTCCTGCTGCGGCGTCAGGCTCAACAAGCAGCAAAGTAAATGCATATTTGACATGTTGTCCTGATTCACACTCTTGAAGAGTTAACATTTCTCTGCAACAGCAGAGCTTAATAGAGCTGTGTATAAGGACAACATTGTCAGACTGAAAAGAGGTGTTTCATTTTTACTACACACGTTGTCTACACATTGGTAAAAGAGTAGGTTAGGAAAATGGGGTGTGGTGAGAAATTTGGGGTTTATATAGAAGTTGCATTTCGCTTGTTAGCATCTTCTCATTCTCAGACAGTTTTCTAATTTGTTACACTTATGAAAAGGAAGAATTTTCAGATCCAACGTGATACACGTCTGAAACGTTTTATAAATTAGTTTAAGCAAAAATAAACCTTTTTATTTTTTTTATTTTTACTGGATGTGTTGTGGGTTTTGATTGCATCAAATTTACTTTAGAATTAGAGCAAAGTGGAGATTTGTGCTAACATCCAGAAGGTAAAAATGTCCACATTTTATTTTTTCCTTTTCCCATATACTTGTCATTAGAGTAGATTTTTTTTGTAAAATTTACTTTGTGTATTGTCTGATTTTTAACTCCTGTTTGTTGTATTTGAGTTAAACTAAATAAAATGTTTTTCTGACTAACATTCACTCTTGGTAAATAATTATTACAGCACATTATTCATTGTTTTGACTATATTGTCTTGACTAGAAAAAATGCACGTGGGTGGAAAAAGATGTATAGAAGCCAAAATATGTTTAATATAGTTACTGTGGCTTGAAACACTGTCATGATTTCTCCATTTTATTCAGTGTAGGTTTTAACTGGATATGCGTTTTCCGCTCATCACCGCTGCTTTATTGCGTGCTACTGTCTCTTTAAATGTGGCGGGCTGCCCTGTTGTTGCCGTGCAGGAAACCCCGTACTGACTCTGAAGGGACCCAAGATGGCTGAAAACTCAAGGGGGGCACTTAGCAATTATCAGAGCTACACGTCTGGAATGAATGACAAATAGCAGTGTAATGTCAAGCGCAGCTTTGAAGTAAATATTTTACTCCAGTTTGTTAGTTTGCACAAGTTTTCGTACGCCTGAATATGAGTAGGGAGAGAAATGGTCTCTCCGCGGCCCCGAGCCAGAACATGGCGGAATACTTGGGGAAGAAATACCAGCTAACTAGCGTTAGCTGGCGTATTATTTAAAAAAAATAAGAACATTTCTACTTAATTTGAAACGGTGTTTTTTGTCCGCAAGTGTGAAATAATGCTTTCGGTGCGGACCTGTGGTGAGTTTATTTCCAAAAGTGATTGTTTTAGGTGTTATAGCTAACGTAGCTAGCTAACGTTACGTGCAAGCGTACAAACTGTACCGACAAGAGGGCATTGTGTTTTCTAATAAAGCGGTCGTAACAGCAGAACTTATTTCGAATACACATTTTTTTTCAGCTATTTGCCAGGACTTAGTTATGCCTTTTAGCTGTTGTTCGGTCATTTTTTTCAGTATCGTTCGTTTTGTTAATTAGACTGTCGTTACCCTACCGAGTGGATTTATTGTTGTTTCTGCGTGGCGTTCTCTACCTTTATTTTATCCCTTGAGAGAGAAGTTTGAGGGCATCTTGGTGATACTAAGCACATCTAACAATATCTAAGTGCAGAATCTGCCAAGGAATCTCACTGGACATTGATCTTTTTTTTTTTTCTTTACCCACTTTGAAGTTGCTTCCTGAGCCCTTTCAAAAGTTGCCAAATACTGCACCGACGCGGTGAACAGGTGTTGAAAGTAAACTGAAGTTGTGGCGTTACTAGGTGAGGCAGACGTCCTGTAAGACCCAAGAAGTAATCTGGGAAGGGGATACAGGTAACGAATCACCTGCCAGGATGACTGACACCCGTCGACGAGTTAAAGTCTATACCCTCAACGAGGACAGACAGTGGGACGATCGTGGGACCGGGCACGTCTCCTCAGGCTATGTAGAGCGTTTGAGGGGGACTTCTCTCCTGGTGCGAGCAGAAAGTGATGGTAAGTAAACAAACGAAGGCCACATGGATAGCTGTTTACAGTTTAGTAAGTCACAAAATAACATTAACTCAATAAAAGTAACATTGCTTTTTGTCCTTGTAACCAACGTTTAATGGTTACCTCTGTTTTAACTCGGACAGGTTCATTATTGTTGGAGTCCAAAATCAACCCAAACACAGCCTACCAGAAACAACAGGTCAGTACATGATATGGTGCATTATTGCTTGAGCAAAATATGTATTTATAGTATGCATGAATGGTAAATTACATTGTTTTCCCCCCACAAAGGATACATTGATAGTATGGTCAGAGGCTGAAAATTATGATCTGGCACTCAGCTTCCAAGAGAAGGCTGGATGTGATGAAATCTGGGAGAAAATATGCCAGGTAACTAGTTCTTGTGTGGGTTTGTGTTTGTCCTTAACATTCTATTGATTCTTGTCCTGAATTTTGTTCTGCTGGAGGTGTCCTCTTGTTAAAAGGTGATGTTTTTTTTCTCCATTATCACTTGCTACCTTGTGTTTGCTTGGCCTAAGGGATTTAATTGAATTTATCTAGTTGAAATGTACTAAATTCCTTTGTTTGGAATGCTTTTTTAAATTGGATTGTGTTGGACTGGACTTAAATTGGAATACTGAATTTGAAACGTTTTTGTTTCATTATTAAGGTACAGGGCAAAGACCCTTCTGTGGACATCACGCAAGATGTGGTGGATGAGTCTGAGGAGGAACGATTTGACGAAATGTCATCGCCAGGTCTTGAGTTGCCACCATGTGAACTGAACCGCTTGGAGGACCTTGCGGAGCTGGTGGCTTCTTCACTGCCATCACCGTTGCGACGTGAGAAACTGGCACTGGCTGTGGAGAATGAAGGCTACATTCGCAAGCTTCTAGAACTGTTTCGTGTGTGTGAGGATTTGGAGAACAGAGAGGGACTGCACCATTTGTATGAAATAATCAAAGGCATCTTCCTGCTGAATCGCACCGCACTCTTTGAGGTTATGTTTTCTGACGAGTGCATTATGGACGTCATTGGCTGTCTGGAGTTCGATCCAGGACTCCCGCAGCCACGGCGGCATCGAGAGTTTCTTACCAAGACAGCCCGATTTAAGGAGGTGATTCCCATTTCTGATCCTGAACTGCGTCAGAAAATACACCAGACGTATCGGGTACAGTACATTCAGGATATGGTGCTGCCCACGCCCTCTGTTTTTGAGGAAAACATGCTGTCCACCCTGCACTCCTTCATCTTCTTCAACAAGGTGGAGATTGTGGGCATGCTACAGGTGAGAGGCAGTGTTATGAAGCATGTTTTTGTATTTTATTTATTATCAATATTTGCTTTGACTCTTTGCTTTAACCAGCGTGAGATTGTTGTACTCTTATGGTCATGTGACCTTTGTGTTGTGTGTCAACTCAGCAGTGTTTATGTATGGCTGTCTCCATAGAGATAGAGAGGTGTTGTGTAAATCAGTATGGGTGCACTAGAGGAAAACTGAAACGGGCACGCTGTTGACTGTAATACACTGCTGTGTGTGTTTTGAAGTACAGCAACACTGACAAACAGTTTCTCCTTCTCAAAGCTAAGATCTATTATTAAACACATTTTTTTATTCATTCAAACTTGTTAGACACATTTTGTGACATTTGATTTCACCTTAAAACATCAATCCATTTTAAACCAAACAGTTTCTTTTTAGAAACTGCATCTTTTTTAAAAACAATTTATTAAATAGTACTTTTACTGATTTCCAGTTTATGAAAGGCATATCTTACGTCTTTGATCGTTTACTTCCTGCTTTATAATCTTGGCTTTGCTTTTAATGTCAGGACGATGAGAAGTTCCTGACAGACCTCTTTGCACAGCTAACAGATGAGGCCACAGACGATGACAAAAGACAAGAACTGGTATGCTAGAATTTATTCAAATGTAATTTATCAAATTTTAAATCTAAATGCTCAGCTTCATTAGTTTTGTTGCTTTTGTTTCATATGTTTTGTTTAGGTAAACTTCTTAAAGGAGTTTTGTGCATTCTCACAAACATTACAACCTCAAAACAGAGACGCCTTCTTCAAAACATTGTCAAACATGGGCATCCTTCCTGCACTAGAGGTCATACTGGTGAGTATAGTTAGATTAATTAGCATTAGACTGTGGCTCTGTGTGTTAATCGCTTGAGTAATGATGCTTACCTTTTTGTGCAAGTCATTTGATGCACCTCTCTAGTCTGAAAATAAATTGAAAGTCAAAATGATGAAATTCTGTGTTGGCAGCCATTTTTCACAGAACAGGAACATTTCAGGGTCGGAGAAAATGACTACTATGCAGTTTTTTTTTAAATTATTTAGGTTTTATGTTTAAATATGTTATGACTAAATTGTTTTTTGTAAATTTTGAGCTTTTCTCTTGCTTAAAGAATGACCTATCAAGTTTTACCTTTTAGTTTCAGTTGTTATTAGCTGACGATTAAGCTTCTTGTCAAGACCATAAAACTAAAACCAGACCCGAGTGGTTTGTTGTGTACATTGTAGAAAGGGCTCAAATACACTGATTGTATGGTACATAATGTGACTAAACAAAATAAATCATTTTTGCAGCTGCAGAATATTTTTACATTAGAAATCACTATAGCAAAGAAATTTTCTGGTTTTAAGCTTTCGACTGAATTCTCCTCACAGTACTTTTCATTTGTTGTTTTCTTTGTAGAATGTGTTATAAAATTCAACTTTCTGTGTGGAATTTATTTGCATGTTCTCATCATGCACACTTGGGTTTTCTCAGAGTACTCTAGTTTCTTCCCTCTAACCAAAAACATACGTTAGGTTAATTGGTAGCTAAATTGTCCCTAGGTATGATTGACGGTGTGAATGATTGTTTGTCTCTATGTGGTTCTGTGACGGACTTGCGACCTGTCCAGGGTGTACCCTGCCTCTCGTACAGTGACTGCTGGAGATTGACACTAGCTCTCCTGCGAAACAGAAAGGGGGAAAAAATGAGTAAAAAAACCAAATAGATGATCCTGTTTCAAATCACATGAATTATACAAAAATAAACATTGCTGTTTTTTTTCTTTACAAAAAAGCAATATACATCTAAAATTGTTGGTGTACCATACCTGAGATTGTTGCTCAGCTGTGTTGCTGTAGTAACAGGTAGGATAAACCAAACAAGAGCAGTTGACTCTCAAGCCACCCCTCATTTTTTTTTACCCTTTATGATGGATTGGAAGATCGACAGTTGCAGAATGTAAAAGCTGTTTAGAACATTAACAGTGCTTTGTTTTCTGTCTTGCAAGTATGACTTTTTGTCTTTGATGTCTTTAGTTACCATCTTTTGCCCTTATTTCAAAAGGTTTCTTTGAGGACATGAGAAAATGTTAAATAGCCCCAATAGTCATTGTAAAAAAGTTTTTATTTTTGGCATGCATCATCTAAGGAAACATCACAACATTTATGACACTCGTGCTTATTACAAAGAAGCACTCGTGATAGTTTAGGGTTAGTTTTACAACCAATTAATAACTTCACTTTGAATTTATTTTCCTTTAAATTTTTCAAATCCTACTACAGTGTGATCTGAGTTTAGATGTACAGGTAGGCAGATTTATGCAGATCCTCATTTATCTGAACTTTTTCTAGTAAATTCTAGTAACAAATACACATAAACACTGTTTCAAGTCACAGTTAGTGTTGGTGAATTATTTTTAAAATGCTGACTGGCATTTCTGATAGCATGTTGGTTAATTGACAACTTTTTGACAACAAAATTATTACTTTGTGTGAGTGGTTGTTTGGTATGGCCTTGTGACAGATTGCCTTTATAGTAGAGATGGGCTATATGGCTTTTTGAAGGGAATCGGATCTTGCCGATCCATTTGCTTAATAGAGACGTTCAGTTTTGAACGACAGTGATGTCACTTCATCCAAATATACATCATCATGTACAGCGTACTTTATGACGTCAGGACCGTACCACGTGTTTTGTCGAGCAGGAAACACCCCTCCCCTCCTGAGCCACTGCACTCCTCCCGTTTGCCTGTTTTCCTTAGTCTCGATGAAAAAGGAGGAACGTTTGTCTGTGGGATTGAGGAGGAGAACATGAATAAATTACAAGGAGGAAAAAAATAAAGCTAGGAATGGCTCTTTACTGTTTGCAACTCGATTCTTCACGTTTGTTGTAGAGCCGTTCAAACGATCTGAATCGTTCATGAATGTCCCATCTCTGTAGCTGTATGATCACTGGCACCAGCTCCCCACCACCATGAAAGAAAAGTAAAACAAACAAAACATGGATGGATTTCCAAGAGTGGCCAAGGTTTTTTTATTTATTTATTGTCAACCGTACTGCAGATGTGATTTATACTTTAATCTGAATTGATAAATGTTAGCCGCTATATTTAAAAAAAAATGTCCATGTCGTCATAAATGACGTTGTAAACAATGTTTATAAATTGAGAACAGTGAGTGTAAATGTCACCATGTAGAGCATGATCAAGGTGACTGATGGAAAAACTTGAGAACTTTGGCTCCATAGATGTAATGTAATTTATTAAAAATAATCTATTTTTTTTCTCTATTATTTCTTTGATCAGACTCTAGACTGGCCCATAATTTTTAAACATGGTGGTCACAGTGTTTGTTAGACTGCTTGTTCTCCATAACTTGACCTTAACCCCTGATGTAAACAGTGATTTGCTCCATAACATTAGTGAGACATGACTTCTTTATTCTCTGTTTTTCTTGACTAAAGCTGATGTTTTCGCAGTTAGAATAAAAAAGAGAGAAATAATTTTGGCAATGTTTCTGAACTATTTGCAAAACCCTGTAAGATCTTTTATTTAATTACATTATTGGACACTCAGAATCTTGTCTTGTAATACTACAAGAAAAAATCTCTAGCCAAATTTAAATATTAGGTAAATCTGTAACTTATGCCCACATGTTGACATGCATTCTTATTGCATGTTACACATGAAAAGCTTTAGGTACACGGACGTCTAAAAGCGAAAACTGATTACTTTCTAAATACACAGGTTTTTAACTGAGACCGATGGATGCAATCTCTCTAAAATTCAGTGGGTTTTTTTGTTTTCCTTTTTTTTTTCTTGTTTCATTCAATTTTTAAAACTAGGTTTTGTTTGTGCTTAATAAATTTACAGTCCATAACAATTTCATTTTTGCCAAACAGGGAATGGACGATGTTCAGGTGCGTGGGGCAGCCACAGATATATTCTCTTATCTAGTGGAGTACAATCCTTCTATGGTACGAGAGTTTGTCATGCAGGAATCTCAGCAAAATGATGACGTGAGTATTTGCTTTAAGATTATTATTATTATTTTTTTTTTGTATACGGAGGTGTGTATAAAGTGAAATTTCTCCGTTTTTCAGGACATCCTCCTCATCAACCTGATCATAGAACATATGATCTGCGATACAGACCCAGAGCTGGGTGGAGCAGTGCAGCTAATGGGCTTGCTACGGACCCTGTTGGATCCAGAGAACATGTTGGCTACTGCAAATGTGAGTTTACACTTTTCTAAAATTAATAACAAAATAAAATTAGAAAATTAGTTGCACTTCCTTCTCATTATTCAATGGTATTCAGTAAAACATTGAGTTTTTTAATAAAGAATGTAATGAAGAAGAAAGCAAATAAAAAACTAATCCTGTTTCAGCTGTGGTTTAGACCTTTACATGCTTTCACTTGTTTCCTTAAGTGCAGAAGAAAAGTCCAGTCAGATAATTAAATAATAGATTAAACAACAGTAAAACAAAAAAACAAACAAACACTTGTACTGGCTTTATTTTCTTGTTATTCCGGTAACACACTGTAATTGGAGAATTGTAATCGGTTCTGCCAGTTCTACAGGTTGGATGTCTAGACCTGCTAAGTGGCACATGCTGCTGATCTATTTCATGCTGCTGTGTTCATTCGTATTCATCTGCTCACACAGACTCATGTTCGTGCTGCTGTTGTTTGACGTGTTGTTTTTGTACTATTAATGTTTAGCATATTTATTAGCGTATTCATATCATATCTTATCTTATTACTGTTTTTTAATTTATTTATACTTTTGTTGGATGTAACTGGGACCCTGTGTTCACAATTTCATTCCACCACATGCACCACATGCAATGCGAATGACAATAAAGAACCTTGACCTTGACATGACCTTTGTATTTTGTCGCCAAAGGTTTTTAGTAAATTATTTTGTTTAAATACACCAAAAGCAGCTAACAGTGTATTTAAGTAACTGTACAGTGCTGAAATGCATGCTGAGCATCTAGCTGAATATGGAACAAGAACTTGAACTGTTGTTGTTGTGTGTTGTACATGTTTAAACATGGCTTTTTAAACAAATTTAAAAATTATTGTCAATAAATGGAGCCACGGTGGCATCCCTGCAGACAAACATACTTGGGTAAGAAGGATGTACTTTTGCAGTCTAAGCTCTTTTCCATGTCTTTTTCACAGTCTATCAAATTTATCGATATCAGTATTACATGATGGGTAAGGGAGCATAGTATAAATGCTATATGATTAATAAACACATTATAAAGTGCTTCATAGAACGTGGAAAAGATTAAATTGTGTTTAGAACTGTGTACACTTAATATTCACCCCTTTATTCTATGGATGTTGAACAATATGTCCAGTTACCACTGCAGACTTGGGTAGTTCTTGGGGTTTCAAATGGTTCAGAGTAGTTAAAATCTTGGAGGAAAGAAAATAGTTTTATGGCAAAAAGCACCTTATCAATATTATGTACAAGGTGTCATTGAACAGTTTGAAAATGATGAAAACTGGATAAATCAAATGCCTTTGAGTGAAAACGTCTCTCAGAGGTTGTGTGTAATGTTTAGGGCAAACGTATCATTCATTCTAACAGTAAAACTGCTCTCGCAAATTCTACACTCACTCAATTAAAACTTTTTTTGTTTTGTTTATTTTAGATAAAGAAGTCACATAAATTTGAAGTCTTGAAATTAAATCTTATGACCTGACCCAGTAATTGAACTGAACTCGATGAATCATGTAAGAAGAAATTTTATTATGAAGATCTAAAAACTAATAATAATTTATTAAATTTGTACTGCACTTTACATATTTCAATCTCAAAGTGCTACTATATAAAACTGCAAGAGAGAAAAATGAATGTGAGTGAAAGGTATGGAGACAGTTTTGTTTACTTTTTTTAATTATACTGAGTAACTGTATTTGAATAAATGTATTTGAGTCACATAATTCAGGAGTGTTTTGAGGTAATTTTGCTCCAGAATAAAAAAAACCCCAAAACATTTAGTACCCATTTTTCCTAATTAGCTTGTGCTGAACTACAGTTAATATTCAGTTCATATTTTATATTCAGCACACAGTTTGAATTTGGCCTGAGCAAAATCAAAGCATATTTGTAAATTATGTCCAATTCTGACGTCTCTCATATTGAAATGTTTTTAAATGAAGGTGGTATCTGAAGAGTTTTTTCTTAAGGTTAGCATATCTATGTCAAAAATGGGAACCATTGCCGTTCTTTTTAGGTGTCAAGAACTAGAAAGCTCATTCAAAACTGCTTTTTTTCTTTGCAGAAAACAGAAAAGACGGAGTTCTTAAGCTTTTTCTACAAGCACTGTATGCATGTCCTCTCAGCTCCGCTATTAGCCAACACCACAGAAGAAAAGCCCAGCAAAGGTACTGCATAACTTTGAGCTGTGCTGTGTGTACATTTTTGTAATCTTTTTCGTGTTTTTGTTTTGCTTAATGACTTTCCTCTCGTCTGTAGATGACTTTCAAACAGCCCAGTTGCTTGCCCTGATTTTGGAACTGCTAACGTTTTGTGTTGAGCATCACACGTATCACATCAAGAACTACATCATCAACAAAGATATTCTCAGAAGAGTACTGGTTCTCACCGCCTCTCAACACGCCTTCCTGGCACTTTGTAAGTCATATAAATATTTAACTAGATGTGTTACACTTAGTAGTTTATTATTTGTAATATCAAGGAAGCTCTGTACAAACCTGTTTGTTTATGCACAGGTGCCCTGCGCTTCATGAGAAGGATAATTGGTTTGAAAGATGAATTCTACAATCGCTACATGATGAGAAACTTCTTATTTGAGCCAGTTGTCAAGGCCTTTCAAAATAATGGTTCACGCTACAATCTCATGAACTCGGCCATTATTGAGATGTTTGAATATATCCGCGTGGTGAGTTTTCCTGACAATACTTTTATGTCTTTATTACTCTTTAAATGTAAAATAGGGAATAACAAAGCTGTAAATGAAATATATGTTTTAATTGTATTGCTACAGCCTTTGTACTTGGCTTTTACATCTTCTTGGATTGTCACAGTTTAGTGGTGGAAGAAGATTTTAATCAACTTGGTTTAGGAAATTGGATGAAATTCTGTTGGTTGGCTGTTTGTTCAAAGTAGCTTCTTTTTATAAAAAAAAACAAAAAACTTTGAAGTACCGTATTCGCTGTTGTGGGTTTTTGCTTAATTTGCATACCCTGTGACTTATACCATGCCATTTTATTTATAGAGCACTTGAAACAGCTACGAGGCCAACCAAAGTGCTGTACAGACAGAACAACAGACAACACACAAAGCAAAATAAAAAAATCAAGTTTATATGCCGAAGCGGTGGATTTATGTATTTTCCCCCATATTTATAAACCAATTTTTGGCTGAGATATGACCGTTTTGAAAATATTGAACACTACCATTTTCAGCCGCTAGATGGCAGTCGAGCAGTATGGCTTGCCATTGTGTCTTGTAATAGGTAAAAGTGGTTATTAGTGACACAATCGACTTGCCATAGATGCCACCGTCGTATTCCTGGAGCAAACGTCAAATCAGCTTCATTTCGCTGCGCTGCCCCGGCGAAATGCAGCTGATTTGACCATTGAAGTGCATTTATTAAGTAAAAGTTCAGCTGAGACACACTTTTACTATAAAGTCAAGCTAACAAACAATTGTTTTTAGGTGATTATCTTGTTAAATTTCAAAGAAATGCACAGCGAGTCGCCCTCTGCGCGTTCATTTTTCTGTGTATCGGCTTTTGAAAATCAGAGTCAGAGTTTCTTTATTGTCATTCGCACCTCATGTGGTACATGTGGTGGAGCGAAATTATGTACACAGGGTCCCAGTTACATCCAACAATAAAATGTAAAAGAAAAACACTAATAACATCTAAGATATGAACTAAGAAAAACATCAACTAAGTATACACTAAGCACTCGTAACATAAAAACATTACGTCGAACATCAGCACAAACATGAACATGAGTCTGTGTGAGCAGATGAGCACGCATGAACACATCAACATTGAAACAGATCAGCAGCAACATGAAACAGATCAGCAGCAACACGATGCGATTTTGCAGCTAATTTGACCGTCAAAGTGCATTTATTAAGCAAAAGTTAGACCGAGACACACATTTGCTATAATTTCGAGCAAACAAATAATCTTGTTAAATTCTTGTTCAAGTCCTCCCGTGCACGCTCCTGCGGCCGCCATTTGGCAGCCAGTCGATTTTTGGCACAACACCAGCCCACATTTCTGGGTTTGGCCCACATTTCCATCAGCAATGACACAGAATAGATGTGACATATACGGCAAAGCGACGTATTTATGGATTTTTCCACTTTATTAGACATATTTGGACTGATGCGGCTTATAGGGTGGTGCGACGTGTACGGAGGAAAATACGGTAGTGCTCACTGATTGACTAAAGTAATCCAGATAAATGCACCCATCTTGTTTTTTGTTGAAATTGCCAATGTTTTTATTGAGGCAAGTGATAATTTTCTTATGTTAATGCTCACATATGCTGCCTGGCCTAAAAACAAGTCGCTGTTGTGTTTTAAATATGCAAATTGAGGAACGTCTCCCATTGGGGATTTACTGATGGGATATTCTGCTGGCAAGAAATGCCCTAACTGATGTGTAGTAACGAGTTCTGCGGGCTTCCTTAGATAGAGAACTTTACTAATTAGCTTTTTTTTTTTTTATAAATGTGAATGTTTCTGTAACGTGCCCTGAGACAACTTTGTTGTGAATTGGCGCTATATACATGAAATGAATTGAATGGTAGTAGCTTCTCATTCCATAACAAAAATGTCCAAAAGTGATCCAAGTTTTTTTTGTCTACACCCAAACAAAATAAATGAGATTGTTAAACCAATTAAACAGGCTATATTGTCTTAACACATTATAAAATCCTGGAGGAAAAATGGTAGAGTATTGCCACACACTTGATGTGAGCGAACTCATTTTGTTGTAATCACACAGTGTCCAGACCTTAAACTGACAGAGTATTCATTGGGATGTGACTGAGATGATGATATGGACCAGTCAGCCTCTCCCATCAATAATACAAGATTAAGGATAAAATTAATATTCATTCAACCTTTATTTATACAGGTTAATCCCATTGAGTCTCGGGGACTCTATTTACAAGAGAGACTTGGAATATAAATAAAAATCTGAGCAGAAAAAAAAGTATCTACCATTGCATAATTTTATCAGAACATAATTTAATGAATGTCTCATCTTCTTCAAAGCTGAAGGTGGTCCAACAAAACATTAGCTCGACTGTTTTTGTTAATGTATTGTATTGTTTTTGTTTCTATTAGTTACATAATTGTCAAGCCATATCACCTAAAGCTAACTTGTAGTCTATACAATCGTGTCACTTATAATCTGTTGGATAAATGATTAAATATATTTTTATTCCTTTACTTTTAGCTGTATGGCGTATCTAACATCTTTCTTTCTTTCTTTGTTCTCTGTCCTAAAAATGTCCCCCCCCCCCCCCGTTTTCTCTTAATATTTCCCTTCCTGCTATTGTGTATCTATTCCTATTTTTTTCGCCTACTATTACCCACCTAGGAGGACATTAAGTCCCTCACAGCTCACATAGTGGAGAACTACTGGAAATCTCTGGAGGATGTGGGTTATGTCCAGACGTTCAAGGGCCTAAAGCTGAGATATGAACAGCAGCGAGAGCGGCAAGACAACCCTAAGCTAGATAGGTGAGAGAATCAGTAATGCACTGACACTAATTGTTGTAACCGTTGAAGGTATGTGGAATGTAAACGTGAAAAGAAGTATGAGTTATTGGTTAAATAATTCACACAGTTGAGGTGTTAAAATGGGTGTGGGTTTTAATAGCTTTTCTGGGAATAAATGTATTTTTGTTGTTAACTTGTCGACAAGTGTTTTAGGCAACGCACATTTAATATGCATGTTGCTGCCTTTAAAATGAAAAAGTTGCCTCAACTTTCCCATCCTAAGACAATAAGTCTGCTAATGCTGAGACGACTTCTGTTTTTGTGACTTGGCGCAATATAAATAAACTGAATTGAATTGACTTTGGGTTGAAAATGTGAAATAGAAAAGTAGAACTCCATTGCAGGCTTTTTAAAATAATCTTTAACATTGCTACCAAAAACTATCTACCTTTTTAAATGTAACATTTTTTAATGAATCATAAATTCATGTACATTTAAGGCCACATTTTTTAATTATTCAGATTTTTTAATTAATTTATTGTTAATTATTAGTTTTGTATTTGCAGTCGACGTAGAATTTATTAATTTTTTTCTTGTACATCGTCCTCTGCAGTATGCGCTCCATCCTGCGGAATCACCGCTTCCGCCGTGACGCACGGACGTTGGAGGACGAGGAGGAAATGTGGTTTAACACGGATGAAGATGACCTTGAGGACGGTGAAGCAGTTGTTCTACCTTCTGACAAAATGAAGAGTGAAGAAGACCTCATGGAGCCCATCAGCAAGTTCATGGAGAGAAAGAAATGTAAGTACGGGAACATTCATAGTCAGGAACTAGTTGCAAACTTGTTGCTTGACTGAAAGAATCATGCTGTAATTACAAGGCTAGATATTTTAATAACGGCACATCTGAGCATGTATGTATGAATTTTCTTACTCTGTACCCTAATCAAACAGTGTTGGTGTCTTTTGAGATGATCAGTTAAGCAAGTATATTTAAAGAGTAAACCAGCTATTTCTATTTTCTGAGTTTTCTAATAGTTTTTGAAAAATATTAGATTTTAAATTAAGTCTTGTTTTGTATTTTAATAAAATTACCTTGTTATAATTCTGCTTTAGATATAATCATTGTAAAAGAGGAGTGCATAGCATCTTTATTTTTTGCGTAGTATGTGGAGCATTGACCCTGAAGAGAGCAGGTACAAGCACCCAAAATAAAAGGTCCACTTATAAGTAATTTTTTGTTTTTGTAATAGAGCTTTAACAAACTAAAGTGCTTAAAAATAAACAATTTTACATTTTTACTTAGTGGTTTTATGCACACAAAATTTTGGCTAATAGAAACTTGTTCTTAGAAAAGGAGGGAAACCGTCTCAAAATAAAATGAAAACAACCAGTAAGATCAGTATACATTTAATTTGGTGAGAGTAATTCTGACTAACCTTTGTCTACCTCTTTCTCTCTACTCCCAGTAAAAGACCCGGAGGATAAAGAAGTGCTGGGGAAGTCGAGCTTGTCAGGCAGGCAGAATCCTAGCTTCAAGCTTTCCTTCTCTGGATCCACTAAAACCAGCCTGTCCAGCCCGCCTTCATCTGCCTCACTGAACCCCGGTTCTCCAGGATCACCGGGGTCTCCAGGCTCAGGGGCACGAAACTCACCCCCCACCACAACAGTAACCACAAAGGTACTTGCCAGATTTAAAACAGAGGTCTGAATCCATCTTTCACTAACTTCTGTCAAAGTTGCTTATTTGGGGAAACTGTTAATTGGGTATAGGGCCTGAAACAGGTTTGTAAACTGTCTGCTCTGTTTTCAACTCTTTGTAAATTAAACAATTTAAGGATTGTGAAAATTAGATTTGACTATGAAACTTCACACCTGTGCTGTTAATTTTCACACTAACCCTGTTTTGTGTTGTAAACTGTTGTCATCACAGCAAATGTGTCATTAGACTTTACTGAAATCTCACAGGCTTTATTTAGAAAAGGAAATGAGAAAAAGATAAATATGGTTGTTTAACAATGAGCAGAATGTGACGTAATGCATTTTATGACAAAAAGCTATGCATTGATCGTTTTGTTGAGATAAAATATTTATAATTATAATTGTGGTTTAATAAAGGGAAACAATTAAGAATTATGTTTTTTTTTCTTTAATTCATTTCGAACTGTTAAAATATCAAGAAAAAATAAAATAAAATAAAATAAAAAGGTAACTATTTCCACCAAAATATTTTGTAAACAAAACAAAAATGTTCAAAAAGGGACAGGAAGAAGCAAAAGCTTATCCAGTTCTGTCCCCAAGTTTACATGCAAATACTGAATTCAATATATACATAAATACCCATGCATGCACGCATACCTACACGTACATAAATATACCTGCAGATAGACCTCTCGCAATAAACAATAAATCTTTCACGATAAATGAAAATTATTGACCTCGTTTCATGTATCGACTTTATCGTTTCTTCCTGTCTCTCTTTCTACTGAAGACACTGGATGACAAAAAGCTCCAATCCAGTGCTCTTAACTGACACCTTTCTATTTAAAATCTGTTTTAACCGTCCAAAATCACGTTTTTGGATCGTTAAAAGCAGCTAAGCTACGAGCTAAGCTAACAGGCCGACCTCAGGAAGAAACCTCCGTCTTGTCGAAGCTCAAAAATTCACTGTTGAAACTCGTGCTTTTGTGTAAAAAGTTGTTTTTCTCTGCAAAAAGAAGCTGAGAACTTGTTTATTTTTTTATTAAAAGCTTCGTGTAACAAATGCTATGCTAAAGAGCTCAAACTACACAGAGCGTCCGCCATTTTGAGAACCGAAGAAAGAAAGGAAGGAGAGAGTCCATGTCAAAGGGCCTCTCTCCCATTTTTCTTAGAGACACTGCTCGCTCCCTCACTATCCATCATTTGGTTCAAACAGTCTTATACTGCCATCCAGTGGTCAAAAAGAGGTACTACATACAAAAGTAACCAACATCTCTTCTTAAATTTGACAATAATTACTAATTATTGTCAAATTTCAAACAATATTATCGTTTATCGCAATAATTTCTGACACAATTAATCGCCCTGCAAAATTTGTTATCGTGACAGCCCTACCTGCTGATACAAATTTACTCTAAATCACCTACAGATCAAAGCTTAATATGCAAACACGGATTAACAAATTAAGAATTGGAATAACATCGTTTTGTCTCGTTTTTATATATTAATATGTTCATTAAATAAATTGTGTTTTATGCGTTTGTCAAAACATTTGATGCTTTTCCTCTTTTCCTTAGGGAGGTGTAGTTGGACTAGTGGACTATCCTGACGATGACGAAGAGGAGGAGGACGAGGAGGACGAGGACGGGGAAACTAAAGAGGAGCCTCTGCCACCTACAAAAAAGTCCAAACTGAGCTCGTAAAGAAATCTCTGTTGCAGCTCGTACTCCGCTCGGACAGTCTCAGAACACGGACTTTACACAGGAATGATCAAACTTGTAGACAAATTGAATGAATAAAATTCCACCCCTCTTTGTCAGCGGGTGGCCAAAAGAGGAGCAGACTGTTAAGGAATATAAAGCCTCCTCAGATTCGTCCAACTCAAAGAAGTGCCAATCAGGAGACCGGGAGCGGATAAAACGTCGAGAGAGGAAAAAAAAGTTTTGACGGCGAACAGATCTCTTTAAAGAGCCGACTTGAAGTTTGGCGATTACGCAAGTGGAGGAAAAGACCACATACTAATACAAATGTACACGCAAAGTGAAATAGCAGAGCTCACAGGCTCGGACCATAACCCACTGCCCCCTCCCCCTGCCCCCCACTCAGGGAAGGACATCACAGCGGCCCAGATGGGTCAGCCAATTCAGACCCAGAACCACCAATTACACCTCCATTCCCTCCCTAGAGTTCACTTCCTCACTGTTCCTTTCTGCTTCGTTTCTCTCTGCTCTTGTTTCCTTCTCTCTGTCCGTTGCTTTTTGTTCATTTTTAAGTCGGCATATTTGACCAGATTGCAGGCAGCACGAGGCGAAGGAGCTGCCCTCGTTGTCATTTGATGTCATCAACGTTGACGTTCTTTCTCCGAGGAGGAAAAAAAAAAAAAAAGCCAGCAGTTTCGTCATTTTTTTCCTTTGGTTCATTATTCGTCTCGATCTTCTCGACTCGTTTTTTTCTTTTTTGTAAATGATGACAAAAAATGACCTGCCTTTAAATGTTCAGGACGTTTTCAGTCACACTTGAACAGGTTTTTAAAGACCTCAGTAGGCGATCTAGTTTTACCCTTTTTGCCCTTTGAAACTGCAGATTTTTTGGAGAATTTGTAATCCCATCTTGATTAAAGATTGAGTGGAATTCTAGATGTGATGAAGTTTGTCATATCTTCTCAGTTTCTTTTCCTTTTACATAAGTGTACACTTAGTTGTTCAGAAAATTTGGGACCATTAAAAGAATATTTGCTGTAAAATGTTCCCCTACGTTTGTCCTAATAACTTTTTGTTCTCTCCATCCATCACTGAAAAAGATGGTACAGTAGTCCCTCGGTTATCGTGGGGGATCCGTACCCTGAAGCCCAGCGATAAGTGAAAAACTGCGAAGTAGGAATAGTAGTACAAGTAGTAAGTAGTAGTTTATTTTAGTATTTATATATATATATATATATATATATATATATATATATATATATTTATATATTAAGGTGTTTTAAACCTTTCCCACACACTTGCAATATTCTAAACAATGTTTCCAAATTAAACGCTCTAAAAACACAGAATGTTATGATTTCAGCTCCCTGCCTCTGCTCTTTGCCACCTGCAAGCATACTCGGCCACGCCCACTTCTCCACGCTGCACGGAGAACAGCTGATCAGCTGCAGCAGGAAGCTTATCCTGCAGTGTGGGTGCCAAATAATTTAAAATAAATAATTTTAAATAAAAAAACCAATGCTGATCGTGCGGCTCATCCATCAATCAGCCAATTGTGTGTCATGTCCAATCTTATTTTGAAAAACCGCGGTAGAGCGAGTCTGCGATAAACGAACCGCGAAGTAGCGAGGGACTACTGTACTTCTCTGCTGCTACATTATTTGGTTCAACAAAGAACAAAATGTCACAAAAAAAGATAACTGAAGAATTATAGTGGTTAGAGAAGATGGGCCTGTGATCGGAAAGTCGCAGGTTCAACTCCTCGGACTGACGTCAAAATGTGGGTGGAAAAGGTGAAATGCCCCAATCTCATTTGCTCCACTCTGGGTCCTTGAGCAAGGCCCTTAACCGCCATCACCTGCTCCCTAACAGGTCTCTTGAAAATGAGTTCCCGCGACTCAGTGAGACTTCCTGTATAAATAAAGGTTAAATAAAATGTTTTGCAACTTGAACAACTTCAGGACGTCTTTAGTTTTCCAGCTTTGAAAGCGACCACCTCTTTGTATGATCGGGTTTTCTTGTTATTGCTTATTTTTAGGGTACATGTCATGCTCACCTTGTCTTATCATTTCAGGATAAAGGAAAAGCCTGGTAATCTAAACAAGTACCAGTAGCTAGTATTTCTTGGAGGTTCCTTGCTGCTGATGTCTTATGATCCACCAGGTGGCGCTCTGGTTTCACAAGAGAAACTTGTTTCCACTTCAGTCATTTCATCTACAATTTGAATTACCGTTAATAACCAATTGTGTGATGAAGTTGATAAAAAATAAGATATTTTCAAACTTCATTTTATTCACTTAATGCTTTTGAGGTGTTCTAATGACTAATTATAAAGCGTTTATTTCATTGCTATAGACAAACCTTTCTACAAAAAATATTTAATTTACTGTAAATAAGAATGCATATAACTAAATTAACCCATATTGACTAAAGCCTTGATTTAAATCAGCCTTCTCAAGGCTCTTCTGGGATTTATCAGTTTGAATTTTATTATTTATTTAAAAAAATTCAGACAAGTCTTCATGACATGAGGTGTTGCAACAAAAAAAAACTGGAACCACGCAAAAGTTTTATCTTTTTATGGAAAATTTATATCTGTCCTTATGCTAATTATTGTTTAAAACATTTATTAGTTTGTGTCTCAAAAATGCATTCTGCATCATTCCAGGTTTAAAATTTAAAAACGAGTATCGTCGAGTCATAATGGGGCAACGGCTTGTTTTAGTTATCTAGAAACAAGATTAGCAACGTTAAAATGGTGAAACTTTTGTTTAAACAAGTTGTAACATTGTTTTAGCTGTGACGTGCATTGTGATAATTTCTTTAATAATGGTACTTTTTATTATAACTGAAAATCACAGCACCTTACTGCACTTGAAATGGGTTTTATTTAATTTTTTTAGTTAAGAGGGGAAAAAAGTCTGCACCTCCCAGTTTGTGTGGTAAAGTCAGTGGGAGTTAGAGTACATCTCCAAAACAAACAGCGTCAAGGCCACCAAGAAGTCAGTGTTGTCCCTCCAAGTGCATTGTGGCCCTCAAACATTGTTTATTAATTAAAACCTCGACAGAGGAGGATCACTGGCTGCCCAGTGTGCAGCGAGAGCGCCGCACAACGCCTGTTAAGGCTTCCATTCACATGAAAGGCATCTCCAGACAAACAGCAGCTTTTGAAGAGCAGCCCTCCCCGCCCGCCTCTGTTTGCTCCGCAGCAGGAGTGTGGCAGAATGTGTGTTTGTTTGGGCCCTGTGCCCTCGCCAGTGGAGAGGCCTGCTTGCTCTCGGTGCCAGCGCTGCAGCACCAGAAAGCCGGCTCCCCTTCTAGTGCCAAGTGGCTCACCCTGCGCTGGCCGCCTGTATGTCTGCCAGGCTGCAGAGTCCTCATCATGAACGCTGCTGCCCAGCTTCCTGCTGCGTCACTGAAAAGGGTTTCTGACAGCTCTCTTGATTGACGTGGCTCCTGATACATTTGTACGGAGCTGCTGGTTATCCACTTTCTCTGATGACACCAGTTAAACCCTGTGAATGCATGAGGGTAGTACTAACATAAAACTACTGTGGACTAAAATGTGAGCACAATTTAAAAAATAACCAATGCAAGTCAACAAAAAAGGTTAAATCGTGTCATCTGGACCAGTCTTGTCCTCCATCCAGAGGACTTCCTCAGTCTACGGCCTGCCAACCAGATCTGTCCCATAGGTAGCATTCATTGCTGTGTTTTCAAGCCAACTTCCTGTTGAAATCTCAGAAGTAGGCCTTTAACACATGCAAAACACACCCATCCAAAACAATCATGTACAACAATCAAATGTTTTAGGCCAGCAGGACAATTGCTACTCACAGAAACAGCCTGAGGACAACCAAGGCCAAAGTGGTTCAGAAAATGTTGCAAGCTCAATAATCCAGGTAGATAAGACAAATGGTTAAACTATGTCATCTGGTCCAATTTCTTTAGGTGAGAAACATTTTGTCCTCCATCCAGAGGACTTCCTCAGTGTACGGCCTGCCAACCAGATCTGTCCCATAGGTAGCCTTCACTGTTGTTTCAAGCCGAGCTCCTGTGCAAGCCAGATGGATATGGTCACCCCCGTGACCTGAAAAGGCAGGTGAAGATGAGGGATGGATGATGTAAGCCACAAATAAGAGGGAAATCAGAGGTTTTTATTAACTTTAAAATAATTGCTTATATACCTTTTTACACACTGGCGTCAGTGAAGTACTGATTAAAATAAGTAAAAAAGAAAAAAAGATTTATCCTAATATGTTATTTTAATCCCGTGTAATCCTGCTAACCCTGCCGGGACATGACAGAGGAAATATAGTAGTCTACACATACGGTTTTTCGGAAACCTGCCCGAGGTTGTCAAAACAAACGCACAAAGTCCACCTTTGTGTCTCCCCACCGAGCCGGGCGACGTGCAGACAATGCCCCGTGTTTCCCCATCACAAAGTGCCCTCTATGTCCGCCGGAGTTCCCCCCTGCTTTAATGGAGGTGATTGTTCGGGTTCGGCACGGCCCGGCCCGCCGCTGCCTGTGATTGATCACCACGTTAAACGCCGGAGCCTCAGAGTCAGCGTCCCTGGGGCGGCCGACCGACAGGGAGCCCCGGGCCAGCACCCGTCGGTAGCAAATGAAAGAGTATTTTTAAAGAAAAAGGTCATCATCCGTCACATCTGGTTCACATTAAAGGCAGAGGTGAGATGCTGTCATGAACAGAAGTCCAGCATACTTTCCATGAGATTTCCTTTTAGGAAACGGAATTAGTGGGTGACAGATAAATTAAGCCAAAAGGCTCCCAGAATGACATGATTACAACATAAAAGAACAGCGTCGGGCCTCTGACATGGGCCCCTGGGTTGAAAGTCCCAAATGCAAACACTAAACTGAAATGATAAACCCAACAAAGTTCAGTCAAGTCCTCTGGATGGTTTCTTTTTTTGTTTAAATGTTTCATCCTTCATCCAAAGGATTTTATCAGTTCGAGGAGCCCCAACAAATTAATTCCCATAAGTAGCTTACTTATAGTGGGCCAACCAGTTTGATGATGATAAGATGGTTTCTGTAGTCCACTCTCTCCCCCGTCAGCAGCCATAGCCAAAGTGGTTCAAAACATCAAAGTTCATGCTCAATAATCCAGGTAAAAAATCCAACAAAGTTAAATTAGGTTCTCTGGACAGTTTCTTTTTTTGGTGAAACGTTTCATCCATCATCCAAAGGACTTCATCAGGCTGAGGAGCTCCAACAAACTCAGTCCCATAAGTGGCTTACTCACATAGTGGGCCAAAAAAAAATCCTGGATTTTTTACCTGGATTATTGGGCATGAACTTTGATGTTTTGAACCAGTTTGGCTATGGCTGCCTCAGAGGAGTCGGCGGGGGAGAGAGTGGACTTCAGAGACCATCTTATCACCATCAAACTGGTTGGCCCTCTATGTGAGTAGCCACTTATGGGACTGAGTTTGTTATGGCTCCTCAGACTGATGAAGTCCTTTGGATGAAGGATGAACGTTTCAACTAAAAAATAAACCGTTCAGAGAATTTGACTTAACTTTGTTGGCTTATTTAACCTGGATTATTGAGCATGAACTTTGATGAAATGATAAACATTTGTAAAGCAGGAGAGTCTGATGCAACTTTTATAATTGATGAAAGTATATATATTTATATATATATATATATATATATATTTATATATATATATATATATATATATATATATATATATATATATACATCTTTTTTTTTATAATAGTGGCCAAACTGGGCTGGTTTAAGCCCCAAATATGTATTGTTGTATTTTTACCTCCCAACTTTTTCACACTCTTTAATACATTACAGTTATAATCTATATTTTATTTAAACCCTTTTATCACCATAACCCTTGAAGTTTGTAGCTGCTCTGGGGAGTTGTTATCAGCCACTCCTGCACTGTAAAAAAT